GTGTCGCAAACTTTGAAGAAAATTACGGTGATCAGCTCTCTTTTTCAGTATCTTTACGTGAGAGATTACAATTGAGCACATCAAACAAGCTTCAGAGCTCAATCACCATCTGCCTTGCGATGAAATAACTTTCACCATGCATACATTGATGTTTTGTAACATTTTAACCTTTTTTCCAGTACCAAATTACATTTTCTAGGAAGTACGTGTATATAATCTCAGTATAGATGTCCCAATTAGTGAGGGACTTTATTTTGACATGATAATAAAGTTCTAACGATCTACTTATCTTTGGTTGATCACGAGAAGACTGACACAGTATGCAAAAGCCCACAGTGTCTATGACAGCAACGGAGAGTTTTCCTTTTTTACTTTCGTTGAAAATACCGCAGGCAGTTGTTGACAAGTCGAGCAAGAGATTCCAAGATAAAGAAGCGTTACCCACCTAGCCTGCAGTGCAGGCACGAGTTATCGGTATTCGCTCGCGATCGAGTAAGTTCGCCGCCATGTTGTCTTGGAAAAATTGGGCGGGGAGGGGTTCCTTTTCGTCTTTCCCCAAGCCTCTTGCGAGTTTGAATCCAACATGGCGCTCACTTTATCAAAATGCGCTCACTCGCCAAAATACGCCTGCGTTGCAGGCTATTAACCACCGGAATTGATATTGCGCTGTGTTCATGAAAATTGATGACTATTTACTTCTAATAAACTTTCACAACCGACCAATGTAAATGTTGCCATGTGAATTCTGGAATGGAATGCCAGTAATACTCCTGGCGCCTTCACTTAACAGAAATCGCGGCTAAATTCCACTGTGTTTCAACTTCATCGTCAAGGAAAACTCGAGAGGGGCGGGAAAGTTTATTACATTAAGGTCATGATGTCTAAGGAGTGCGGTAAGATTATCGTACACTGAGAACAGAGAACCAGATTTTCCACTCTACACAAAGAAACAAACTCGTAGAACGATACACATACGACAGCAAAACGTACGTAGCCCACCTTGTTTCTTAATTCAATGTTCTTTTTCAAATGTAGCAAATACGCCTCTGTTGGAAATGAAAGTACATATCATCAATGCTCATCAACATGTAACAACATGTAACAGATAAATCAACCGATACATCGATTACATGGGGTTGCGATAGCGTTACAAACAACGCTGGATGCAAGACGAACTCATTAATTTCAGCTTGTATTCTTTACGAAATTTAACAAGAAAAAACAAAACAAACAATCATAAATTCTCTTGAGGAAAGGAGGGTTCTGGGTGGAGAGAACTGCAGAAAAACCTTTCATACCTGCTGCCTGCGCCACAATGGAATCGCTATCGAGTAGAAGGCACAACACTGGACAAAAACAGGTCTTTGACAAAGGAATCTCCGTGTACTGTTTCAGCTGCGGACAACAAACTGTCATTATTATAAGGCGGTGTCTCAAAAGGACTGAAATCGATATTGACCGCGGTCTACATTTTCCCATCTAGACCAGCATCTAGACCGGTTACATTTTGCGGTGAAAAAGTTGCAAACTAAAATACAAAAAAAGTTACTATTTTCTTGTAATATTAGTTCAAGAAGATATTCACGTTATGGATGCGCCAAGAAGCCTGATGAGAAAAAAAAGGTAAAGAGGACGAGCAAACTTAGGTAGATTTAAGTTCAGCTCATCGCGGTTCCCAAGCAAAATGTCAACCTGTACAAACCAGTTACATTAAATAAATTAAATTTCTCTTGTTTGCCATATGATAAATATCTTATTAACCGAGCTTAGTAGGTCTGTATGGGAGAATCTTGATCTGCGTTCAGTCTTTACTCACGACCTCGGTCAAGATTCTCCCATACAGACCCCCCGCTCGGTTAATAAGAGCTAAGTACAAAACAACCTTGGTGACGGAAAGCTACGCGGCAAAACAGAATAACCGCAAACTGCCACATACTAGAAATGATTACTAAAAATAATTACACTCGTACTCTGACCCACAGACAAAGAGGCGTCACATCAGCCTATCAGCTACTTGTCTGAAATACAATTCACCTTTACTGTTTTCCATTTTTTTAGGAGTACAAATAACAAAGTAAAATGACTGACACTGGCTTCTTCAGGTTTCTTTTCAGAAGTGAATCGATCCTGTATTTTGATAACTGGCTTCTTTGAAATTGTCGTGGCGTGACAACACAGACACACACACCAAAAAACATTGCTCGTAGACGAAAGAGTTTAAAAGAGAAAAGGCCTGTGCTATAGGAAAGCTGTAACGAGGGTAGAAAACTACAAAGAAACTGCTTCTTAGTTTACCTGCCCTACAACAGCATCCTTCTCAGTTGAACGAAGACGCTTACTGATCACGACTGTAAAAAGAAGATAAAACAACATGTCAGAAAGCATGTGAGCAGTACAACGATACTCTATACAGGTTAAACGGTTTGAAATATTCGCTTAGCGAATGCACGCTACACTGACTCTAATCAAGAACGAACCCTGATGCAACAACCATTTGTATTTCAGTCCCAACCTGAACATTTAAGGGAAATTTACTATTTTCTCAGTAAGGGAAGCTGTTTCTCCTCAAGGCACTTAAAGAGTTTTCCATTCTCATTATCGAATCAGAAATGAGCACCGAAAACGGCGAAACGTCAGCTTGTTGTCATCAGCATACAATGTACGTCACGTTACAAACCAACAATAGTCAAAAACCGTGCCGAGTCAATATTCAAACACAACATCATGGCCTGCTGTGCCACGTGACAGACCACAAGCACTACTGACAAAAAGCGATCTAAGTATCCATTTTACGCATGCGCGTTTGCGGAATTTATGACTAGTATTTTAACTTCATCTTATTTATTTCCTGAAGTAACCAATGTTAACTCCGTCCCACTTACGTTCATAAGCGACTTCGTCGATATACTTGGACAAGTTGCGCCTGCAAAATATATATCGTAATTACTAGACATTTGCCTGTAGTATGAGCACTGTATATTTATGGTGATTGGAGTATTATGGCGAGTCTTGAGGCCTACAATGCGTTTAACATCACCTCTGAGGAATTAACATGTCGTTACTAACCTGCAACAATCCATGAAGTAATGTTCAAACTGGAACACAGTCACAATGTCTTCCTCTTCTGACTGAACGTCAGTTAAATTTGGATCCTGATGAATAACCCGCGTCACAATCACTGGAAAAACTACAAATAAACCCAGTTACACTCATCAACAAACAATCACTGCAGACAGAAAACTATCTAGAAATTTATACCATGATTTTACGACTGAAAACAAACTTTCATTGGCTGTTTGAGAACTGTTCTGACTTCGGATACCAGCGACGAGAGTAGCCGAGAAACAAAACTTGACAGCAGCGACAACATGACTTAGGCTACGGATCAAATCTTTTAATAAGAAAGCCATTTGTTGCCGTTGCTGAACATGGTTGTTGTTTAGCTACACGGAAGGTTTTTATCAATCTCAAGGTACGCACAGCAAATAGTCTAAACGCTAAATGATGTATCCATAGCACTGAAAGATATCCAACTTCCAACTTAGAAGTCCAACACATCTGTGAGGTTACCACGAGGATATCATGATGGACTTAACCTGGAGGGAAGGACCTGGTTGGGCGTGGATTAGTGACTGCGGCAATCTTACTTAAGAAGTTTGGGGTTGTTCTACACATCAGAGGGAAAAAGACAACCTGACCATAAATGAAATCGGAAAGGCGGCACAAGACCGCTGTCGTTGGATGGAGACTGTTAAGGTCTCATGCATCCCACTGGGCAACGATGAGGAATGATGGAAATAATGTACATCGGAAAAAATTGACATAAAGTAATTATTGTGACACTGTCTTTTAATATAGCACAGCGTCTAACTGAGGGTCAGGAAGAGACACAAAGCTAACCCGGCTACATACCTGTATCGACCACTCTGTTGTAACTTTGCGTTATCTGTTCCTTGTAGGTGTCCTCAAATCCATTGACAAGTTGACCAGCTGTGGTGAATAATAACTGCAACAAAGAGCAAAGCGAAACTTTGGTAACATTGATAAAATGTTGAATCCTCATGGCACATCTTTGAACATTGTCTGTGGTGAGCTAGAATCAATCACTTATCTGAATGGTCACGCTTGGTCACGCTTCACAGAGAGGATTGTGTGATGATCCGTAAGGTAATAAGGAGCTAAGTCAATAACACACTTACCGAACCCTGGCATGTTTTCTCCCAAAGAGAACACAAAGGAGGACTTGATGACAAGCGAGGATTAACTACGAAGGAATCAAAGATCATTACGAACTTATCAATATCAGCTGTGCAGATAGCGCGAACAAACTTCTCAACTCTCTTTACAAGCAGAGTGCCCAAACAGGTCGGCGCCTATTAGCCCAAGCCTGCGTTGCAGCCGGACGTGTCACGAAATCACGAAAGGGGGTTTAGACTCTGCGACGCAGGCTAATTAGCGCCGGCTTTCGCAAAGTTTGTCAGATTTCCATGACAATCTGCCAGTGCCCAATTTATCCTAGTAGAGAAGTGAGGAGTGACTCCGGCCAGAAACCAAGACCCCCCATTCCCCATCAAACACCCTAACGATTCGGTCACTGTGTCTTTTAAATGTCTCTCAATAACGCAAGCAAGAATTCTCCAGAACATCGATTTAAATTAAAGATGCTTAATTAAGGCTGCAAATATCGTAGGTTTGGATCTCAATCAGAAACTCACTTTGCTGAAGCGTCAAGCCACCAACTGGATCGGGTGATAAAATGAATTTGATAAGCGTGTCCAGAACCTCTCTCTGCTGTCGCAATTTAGAAAGAGCTGAAATTTCCTGGGAGAAAGAAACGCAAACTTAGTTAGTAAGGTTAGTACACACCAAGGAAACGACAGAATAATGCGTGTTCAGTAACATTGAACATCGATAACGACAAATAATCACAACCCGCAAAATAGCAATGTAAAAAAAAACGAAAAACGAGAATATATCGTTAGCAGTTATGAGAAATCCAGCAAAACAAAACAAAACAAAGCAAGAAAAAATGAGAGAGAAAAAAATAATGCTAAGTCGGAGGGAAAAGATTGGTTAAATGATTGAAACACCTCCATTAATTTTGCAACCAACCCTCAATTGAAGGTATTTAAGTACAAAACAAAAGCACAAACCTTGTTCTTCATCGGCCCAAATGATCCAAGATACTATGAGAAAATGGTAGTGAAATCAGTTTGATAAATTGAACTAAGGTCGAAAAGAATCTTCCAAGAAAAGACCATTACAATGTAATCGAACCAATTATCAGCAAGATGGTGACTGTTTTACCAATCAGAAACTTGAACCAGGTATGACGATGTCGCTAAAGTGACAGTTATCGCGCACTTATTTACAGGTTAGTTGTTTTTGCCACGAATTTCGGGGTTGATTTTGTTGATAATTTGACCTCTGTTCTATGATTCCATAATCTGATCAAACAAACCTTCAAGACATTCTCAGATACAACATCAGAATTTTATTTATACGCCGTTTATCCTGTGACTTGCACTGACTTGGAGGAATGGTAATTCCCATTCCATTTAAGTGATAGAGTCTCCAGATAAAAACTTTTAAACTTACTATTTAAAAAAAAAAACGACTCTACATACCCCAGATACCTCTTCACAAAACTGTAAATGACAAAGAAGGACCTGAAAAAGACAATTAAACCACTGAACGTGCTGCCTGAGTGAACAGAGCCTTTACCGTGAACATTCTCGTAAAAGTCTTTCTTTTAATTTCACAGGCGAAACAAGACGGACGACTTAGGCTCCGTCCACGCTAAGCCGGATATTATAACTGCTTCTAAGGGCGAAGTTGGTCCGTATTACAATCTAATGATTTTCGTCTCCACCATCAGTAGCCAATCCTCGTGTCATTGTGGCTCTTATGTCAAGAACTGTTGTACAAAATGAAACCATTATTGTTAAGTTCCACGTGATGTTTTAGAGCTTTGTCGTGTCACACTAACACCATCCAAAGCTCTTTTTCAAGTTTATCAAATTTAACAACACACTGTTACTTTATACACCTTGGTCGCATCACTGAAACAGGTTTGGAGTACATGCAACTTACCTTATCCAAAACTTTGTTCCCTACTGTAGCCTCTGAACCATACGAAGAGGAAAGATTGGGGCTTGTAGCCCGAGAAGATCGAGTCTTATAGCTGCTATGGTGTGGGCTTTCCTCTGACAATTCAGTTCCTCCTCCAATCCTTTTCCTTGGCGAGCTTGTGTTTGAGGGAAGACATTCATCTGATTTCTGAGCTGGCATCGCTAATGATGGCGATGAAAATATATCCGAAATACAACTCGGCGAGTCATCTATAGAGTTCGTATCAGCGTTCTCTCCATGTTTAAGTTCGTCGTTTTGAGAAACGCCCTCCACCATTCCATTTACTCCCTTCCCACTACTGGGGCCTGTGTAATTTGACATCATAAAGTCTACAAGGTAACTAGCATCAGCCGAACCCTCCCCTGCACAGTCTTTATTATAGTCATCAGTGCTGTTATAGCCTGTATCGTGACAACCGCTCCCCCCACTAGCGGTACTGCGAGGGGTGCTTTCGGCCTCATCCGCGGCATCCTGCTCTAAGAAATCAAAACTCTCAAGCGCGCTTTCCACGGACAGAGACATGGACGATCTTGACAAGGAACATTTCTGGCAATAAAAATAAAAATTACGTGTACTGAGTCAAAACACGCTGTCTTAATACAACTGATATCTAAGCAAAGTTTCTACTTTAGCCTGCCTACATGGCAGGATTTCGTGTGCGCCAGTGTTATGTTTCAGCGGCGGAGTAACTGAAGCACTCCTCCGCGTAATCCCGTCATTTACGCAGGTTTTGTAATGTAGTTACGCAGGTTTTGCAGTTACGCAGGTTTTGCCGACTGCCGCTCACATTGTAGCCATTTGGCATCTTGTTAAATCCCTTTAGCAATGTACGCGAAAATGGCGCTCGCAATTTGTCTCACAGTTTGTGTTTGATGTACCACAAGTTACCGGGCAAATGTGTCAGTGACAAAAGTCTTAACGGGCTATAGCGACAAACTAGGTTCTGGATGTTCCTCAATACTGTATATGACTTCAGGAAGAGTCGAAGCGAAGCATTACACGCGCTGACCGAATGCACAGCATAGGTTTGCAATCTATTGAAATTTCCATTGCACTATTAACTCATCAGTAAATCAGTAATGAATATTTTATACACAGTGTACCTTGACAAGCTCCTCAAGTTTCTCTAGAAGTGTAATGATACCCTCAAGCTCAGGAAATTGATCTACGAATGTAAAAGTCATTTAAGTGTTAATTTAAGACTTGTTGTACTAAAACCAAATCATATGCCTTGTGCCTAACACACAACAGTGTCAATAAATTAACTTTTAAGTATTTCAACTCCCTTAGGATGGGAAGAAAGTCTACTCTGGACCTGCACTCATTATACATAATTATATTCCTTGATGAACAATGGCAATCATATTAATCAATTAATCAATTAATAAAATAATAATACAGATAACAATAATTTTTTAATAACAATTTTATTTACAACTCATCAAATAGTTACAAAATAAAATATTGAAATCATACTACTACTACTACTACAGTACTACTACTACTATTAATAATAATTAATAATTAATAATAATAATAATTATAATTATAATAATAATAATAATAATAATAATAATAATAACAATGTTAAGGCAACAACAGTTAATGATCTTCTTTCAGCTGTTTATCTTTTTCTGGTGAATAAAAAGATGACAAACAACTAACTACCATTGCGTGAACAAGCGCCCTTCTGGAAAAAAAAAAATAAAAAACAAAAGAAACTCTAATTAAAACTAAACAAAGAGCACTCCAAATCTGTCGCTGTCAGGGGATTTGGTGTTGACAATATGTTATGTATATTGCTGCCTAGCAACTAAAGCATTGATAACGGCAGGCTCACTTTTAAGAATGAACAAACCTTTGTTAGTCTGCAAGGTGGGAATTAGATGCTGCAGCGCACTGTCCAGAGATGTCGCATGACGGAATTCCTGGGGTTCCTCTGGAATAATACCATTCATGTCTTCAGTAAGATCTGTGTCTACCATTTCTGAGGCATCTGTCAGATCTTCAATCACAACTTGCTGTAAAAAGCAATACTGTAATTAACGGGATTTTCTTAATAATTTTTTTCCTTTTTTCTTTCATCAAAGTTCAAAAAGTCTGCCAGACTTCATGACTACTTTTGATTCAGTCCAGCATGCAAAGAAAGTCTTGTCAGATAGCCCAGGGCTAATGGATTTTCTACAGTAGCTGGGCTAGTATTAGATTCTCTACTTTGCTTGCCTAACAAGGAAGTGGACTTTTTAGGGAAAATCTTTGAGGAAATTCAAATTATGTAAGATGCCATTGTAAATATTAACGTTATTTTAAATTACCTCATCGTGTCAGCGAGAAATATTTGGGAAACTAGCAAAGATGACTTTTGCACTAGTCATCATAAGATAGAGCTTGCCCAAAGTTCAAAGTTTCGTTGCTCCCTGATCAGCAACATCACCGTAACATACATGTAATAGCAGGACATATCAACATAATAATTCCTCTGCATGATTTTAATATGCTTCCTTTACTTGTGCCTAGAAAAATCTGTTTCAGATCAAGACTATTCTGCTGAGATGACCTGGTCCTTTCTTCTCATCACCTGACTAAGTGAATTTGTTACATCACAGCTGTGAGAAATTAAAAATAGATCACAGACACCTACCTCATCTACATGTAAAGGGAGGCCGTCATCAGTAACGATGTCGTTTTCCATCACCTCATTAGGGCTGATAAACAAAACAATAATAACCTAGGTTATTAATTAAAAGGTTTTCCTGTTTCTGCCCAAGTCCTCATATGTGTGGTCAGACCAAGTCCTTGGTACACTTCAGTAATGTAACAAATTTTACAACTTAAGTTTGAAAATAACACTGCTATCCTTTTAAAAACGTGTTGCTATCCCCCTCCCTACCCAAGGCAATGTTGAGAATCAGGAGAAAGTGCAGGTAGTAGTTTTCAACACTGTATGGGGGGTGGGGGAGAGGTTGGTCATGAAGCTGTATTCACGTATGGCATGTGTGCAAAAGAGCCAAAAGTGCAAATTTGTCCCAAGACTTTTGTCCACGATTGTAGCTCTTACTCAAGACATAACACATCTAATTCTCTGTATAGTCCATTCATATTGAATCTTCTCTTGTATGTAAGGGACCGTTCATTTTTTATGAGGGAGGGGGGGCTGGTGGGATTTGGGAAGCACCATTTAAAAATCGCATGACCCCCCTCAGCTTACCAAT